AGATTCTTACTTTAATCTAGCCTGATCTAGATTAAAGAACCTAGTTTATTTTTCCTCCTCTAACAATAACTTTTACTCAGTCAGCTCTGTAGCTACAAAAAGTTACTGAGGTGTCAGAGCCAATGGTGTTACCATAGTGCTTAACACACACACACACAACAGCACAGAATAACTTCCGACATGCTCATAGCCTGCTTGACATTCAGCTTTTGCATTCCACGGGGAAGTAACTAGCAGAGCTGCCGATTATTCCTTCCTGCCAACCCTGACCACTTCTTACCCAGGAGATATCATTGCTTTCGGATGAAAACTAGAGAGTCATAGCGTTCAAAATAGTGTGCCGAATTGTGAGGATTCCACCTTTCTTCTTGGTCTTATTCTTGCTCTTATTCAGAGGGGGTGGGACTGTAAAAGTAAATACGCAATGTCTGGTGAAATACTGGGGCTTGGGGCGATTTCCAGTGGCCAGGATTTACCATTTCTGTGCCCTGCATTCTCCTCACCATGGTTAGTAGAAGCAGACTAAATTATGCAAATAGAAAAATATACAAACACATGCTTTATGTGTGTCATTTATGTTGTTTGCAGAATTCAGGTATGAATGTGGTTTTGTGCAGAAAATATTGTTCTATGCTATGGCTAGCAGAAATATTTTTAAAATGGGACAACTAATGCACATTTGCACTACGTGCTTGATTTATACAGGTTGCTTTTTCTGGTGCAGAACTTTTGTCACAGAATCTGGATTTACATAAGTAAAGACTTTTAATTCTATGAGGTCACCACCACTGCATTCCCTGGACCAGGGGTTTCCAATCCAGTGACTTCAGGTTCACATGTGCACACAAAGGCCTTCCCTGATGCCATTGCGGTCCCTTTTGCCCCACTGAAATCAGGCTTGAAAGAAGAATTCTGTTGTAGCCAATATAACAGGTTGTGGTGTGTGCCCATGACATTTCTTAAATCTTCAGAAGGGCCCACAGGTAGAAAGGGTTGGCAACATCCACTGCAGATAGGAGCCTGGGTGCCAGAAATATATTTTCCCATAGAACCTCAGTCTCTCACAAATCTTTTCTTAACACTGATACCACCTAACAGAAAGGCCTTAATAGCTATGAAGTGTGTGCATTTTGACACAGCTGCACAATGCATACAAAACTCATAAAAGAGATGTAATTGTAACAGTGCAATCCTAACCCTTTTATCCGTGTTTCTAGAGGGGATTATTATAAGGCTGAGGAGACCATCTGCTGGACTTTGCCAGCACGGAGGGAACTGGAAGCTATCACTGGTAGCTCTCCTACCAGCTGTAAAACAGTCTGTTTCAAGACAAAGTACTGGCACCTTTGGAGTCACTGGATCCAAAACCCTGCAGATCCTCAAAGGGGTCTAGTTTTGTGCTTGGTGATGGGGGGGGGCACTCCACCTTCCGCCCTCAGTGGTGTGAGCATTAGGGTTTGGGACACAGCAGTCCATCTGCCACGGTTTAGGATTGCCTTGTCCAGTGTTAAATCTCCTTTAGAAAATCAGATTTTGTTTCCTCTAAAAGTGAACATGTAAAACATGCACAGCGGCTAGTATCCAAACAATCACACTAATAGTTCCACAGGCCCAAGACAGTATCGGGCCTGCGTTTGTTGAGAAGCAGCCCTTCATGCCACATGGCAAACTGAGGCTTTCAAGAGGATTGTATGATATACAGCAGTGCTGCTCAAATGGGGGCCTTGAGCCACTTCTAGGAAGGCCTCAGTGCCCCGCAGCCTTTTGGTTGGAGCAAAGGAAGCGCCGGCAACCTCTTGCATGTTGAGCAAAGGTGGCTAGCAGAAAAGCTAAGTTTAGAAGAGGGAAGGAAGGCCTGCCCTCCAAGTGAGGGGAGAGGGGGCCAGAGGAGATGCTGAAATGAGAAGAGCGGTTTCTCTCTCTCTCTCTTTAGTAACTGCAGCAGCCATATTGTTATATTTAGTAAATAAACGAACTTGGAATGGAAATGAAGAGTATAAGAGAGGAAATGCAATTATGGAAGGAGAAAGTGAACACAAAAGGGCTGTGGGGGGAGGCGGCGGATTAGGTACAAGCCGAGTTTGGGAAAGAACGGGAGAAGAAATCACAGATGGCCACCTCAAGAGATATGTGGGGGCGGGAATAGAAAAAGATACAAAAAAGAAAAGCCTTTTTTTTTTCATTTAAGAGCTTATGGACTTCCAAATTCTGCCTAAAATGGGGAGGCTGAGTCACAATACCACAAGACAGGAAATCACGGTGTCAAAAAGGAGAGGAAGAACTGAGCCATTCCCGAAGGTGGATTAGATGTGAGGTGAGAACATCAGTGTTTTGTCAGTCGTGCTGAGCTCTGCCACCATTTTGTGACTCCTTGTGACTAAGGCAGGCCCCACCCAGCGGGCCCTGGGAGTAGGAAGCCTGAGAAGCAGCCCCTGCTGCCATGCACCACAAAGAGTTTGTGCCTTACAAGGTGTGGCGAAGCTCACTGCTGATTTAAGCTCGTCTCTCCCGGCTCCTGGCAGGCCGCAAGGAAGCAGGCAGGCAGCTGAAAGCTTTCCTTCCAGAAGGTGGAGGAAAGTTCTCTTTGTCTTGAGAGGCTCAGAATTAACTGCCATTCATCAAAATCAAACCCTCTCTGGGCAATTCCAATGCGGCTACTGATATTGCCAGAGTGATGTTGCTACAGTTGATCGGAGGACTGACTTTTGACTTGTAAACGGACACCAACACATTTAAAGCGCTCTTATAGCGCTTTAACAGCAAAATCTCCCCAATAATACTGGGAACTGTCATTAGCCAAGGGGTGCTGGGAATTGTAGCTCTGTGAGGAGGGTCTTCTAACAACTCCCAGCACCCTTATGAGATGACAACAACTCCCAGCATATGAGATGAGCTTCAACAAGCACAAGTGAAAGATATGTGGATACCATATACAGATCTATTTGTGTTACTGGACCACCGGCTACATACACCCCTCCTGCATAAAACTATTGCTTTGTTTCATTGGGGTTTAGTATGGCTTACTTGACTATATTTCTTTTTGTTGTTGTCTTTCTTAAAAGTTCAATTTTTAAAAACCCTATAATAATAATAATAATACAAATAAAAATCAGCACCTCAAACAAACTACAGTTATCACGATTCTTTGGGGTGGGGGTAGGAGCCGTGGCTGTTAGAATGGTATGAGTATAGTGTGCTACTCGGAAGCAGGGTAAAATAGCAAAAAATAAAATTGCAATTTCATTCACTTCTCCTTTGAGCCACAAGATGGAGATGCATCACCAGGCGTTCCCTGAACTGAATTCTTTCTGCACATAGTACTTGAAAACATGGCCTTCTGGGCCTCTCATGATTCTCCCCAACCATAATCTTTGCTGGCCCCGATTCACACCTCAAATGTGTCCTTAACGCTGATAATGCTTCTTGCTTGTCTGCATGGAAGATAGCGAGGGGTGCATGTGCTTGTGTAGAAACCAGCCTTCTGTACAAAGGCAAAAATTACATCCATGGCTCCACTCGCTTTTCTGCTCACCACTGGCATGTGATCCTTGGAAGGTTGATCAGAAAGGAACAAGATCTTCAGGTTGGAAAAGTTTCAGCACCCTTGTGCTTTGCCAAGTCATTGCTTAGATCAGTGCAATGCAGCAGCAAAATGAGGACCGGCTCAACCATGATCTCTTATATTTTGGAAATGTACATCCAGGTTTTTCCGCTTTACATTTTTTGGGGCCCCCAAGAGAGTGGGGCCCTAAGCTATAGCTTGTTTAGCTTATACATAAATCCGGCACTGGTCTGATGTCACTTTATGTACTATGATGGTCCGCTTTTAACACTTGTATGTCAGTCCTGTATTTACAACCTCTGCTCTGCCGAGTGGTGCCCTCTACTGAATAAAATTGCATAAATGAAGGACCGTCTCAGTTTTTACTTGGCTTTTTTGTGTGACAAAGCAAACAAATTTTTTAAAAAAGGAGGACCATCTGGGATCTCTGAACTACTTGAGATGCTGGTGCACCAAGAACTGAATCACATAACCGTTTCTGAGTCAGAAATTATCCTCTTCCCCCCTTTATTTTATCATTGATAAGAAAATGTGTCTTTTGGAAAGTTTTATGTGAAAAATACCCTATGTGGGGTTTCCCTTGTGCTTGATCTAGAAGCTGCAGTTAGAGTGCTGCAGCACGATTGCTGACAAGAGTTGAGGCCTTGTCGGTATACAAGACATGTCCTCAGATATTTTCACTGCCTGCCAATTTGCTACTAGGCCAAGTTCAGGGTGTTACCATTAGTATATGAAGCTGGTAAAAAACATGGGAGCAGTGTACCTACGAAATCATATTCAACCACTTTAGTCAGTGGACTAGCACTGTTAAGGGTGCCACGTAAGAACCCTTTCCCCCTTTGTAAGAACTCAGTCTTTTAGTGTGGCAGCATCTACACTTTGGAACATCTAGCCTATACCAGGCAGACACCTTCACTGTACTCTTTTTGGCACCTGCTGAAAAAAAATTTCTTTAGACAAGCCTACACAGATAATTAGAAAGCTGATGTGAGTTTTAATCTGTTTTTAGTTTATTGTTACTTTAACTTTTGGAAATCCTTAAATTATTGTGGTCAATTCTTCTTATCAATAATTAATTGTATTACCTTTTTGTAAACTTCTTTGAGGTTGTTGTTTTCCCCCCATGTTGCAAAATTTTCCATTTTGTTGTGCTTGGCATAAAGAGCTGAATGACAATAAACAGAAAGAGTCTACAAAGAAGTTGATACTGTATGCCAGCAGCAGTTGTTTCCATCAAGCCTATATAGGGGAAACTATTGGCTGATTGCTTGCCAATTGCAACCATAAAATATCTGATCATTTAAAAGTGAAATTCCTGAAACTTAAGAGCCTATAGTTTTCTTTTGGGTTGTTGTTTTTTTAAAAAAATTAAAGTAACCTTCAAGTTTTGCTAAAATGGAATTTTGACACAGGGTGAAAATATTTCAAAATCATGTGGTTGTTTCAGAACTTATATTTATTCCTTGGTTTCACAGATTTTGGTTTAACACATTTTCTGGAGAAGTGAAATGTGAAATATTTGGACAGCAGCATCTTCAGTGGCATTTAGAAGTGCAATTCATGCCATACTGTTCACTTCACAAGTAATGTGACCCAAATCCTGCTTGTGGCAACACATGAGATTGTATAACAGAAAGCATTTACCTTACCAAAGAAGCAAGCACTTCAAATTCATATTACATTCATGGTGATAATGGTCCGATTGTCTTAAAGGTCTTTCACTACATAGTTATCGAGATTTCTGAAGAGAGAAGCAATGTGCCGTCTTTTGTCAAAGACAAGCAAAAGCAAGAGTCGGTTCAAAATACATTTTGATCCATTGGAAAAATATTTAACTTGTGAAACTGTAGTATATACTACGTATCAGAAAAAGGAAGTCACAGGAGAACATTGCTGGCTGCGTATCAGATACCTTTGTGCACTTTCATGTATACACAAAGGATCTGTGTGTGAACAAGCCCTTGCAACAGGAGCTCGACGTGTACATTAGAGCTCAAGGAACATCAAGCCCTTGCAACAGGAGCTCGATGTGTACATTAGAGCTCAAGGAAACAAATTAATGCCCTTAGGCTGTAGTGCAGCTGTATAGGCACAAGCAGGGCTTTCCGATTGTGAAGAATGTAAGAACCTACTGGATCAGGCCAGGAGCCCATTTAATTCTGTTCTCACAGCGGTCCATCAGATGCCTACGGGAACCCCGCAAGCAGGATATGAGCACAATAGCCCCATCCACTACTACGGTTTCCAGCACCGCTGTCAACAGCAAAAGGCCCCTTGTGCTAAAACGGAGCTTCATCTGCCACACCCAGCAATGGGTACAGGTGAGAGGCTCTGGCTAAAAGCATTTCAAAGTAGTATAAAAATGTATTTTTGTGTGTGTTTTTGGCCTCATAAATAAGTGAGGAAATTACTAAAAATATCTTGCTGTGCAGTATACAAAGAGGAGCAACTGTTCCGCACTTGTCACCTACACACTGGAAGCAACTTTGTAGGAGTAAATATTTGGAAGTGGCTTTTTCAGCTTGATTGCTACCGTTCCTGGTGTTCCAACATGGCAGCGCTGCCACCAACAGAAGCAGCCCTCCAAACAGAACACAAAGTCCGCTGAAGTAGAATGCTATGTCGTAAGACTTTGTCCAGTCATAAAACCAACCTGAAAAGCAACAACAACAAAAAGAGAAGCTGTCAGAAGTAGCTTTTACAGAACAGCTAAATAAAGCAACCTACTACCTTGCAGCCAGGCAGTTAAAAAGTAAAAGGAAGAATACTTGCTGAATTTTCCCCGAAAACAACAGTGTAATTGTAAAATAAATATTCTGCATAAGCAAATGAAGCCACACATTATCAGCATTCAGGTGCCACATCAGACTAGCTAAATTGTGGCTTACAAGGGGCTGTCAAACCAGGACATTAAGCCACAGTTTGAGGCTGCTTTGGGGACCACAATTTGCAGTAGTTTGCAATTGTGTCTGAATCTACAAACCATAGTTATAGTTACTGTTCTGCCAAACAGGCTGCTGCATCATGGAGACATGAGTGAACTTATGAAATTGAATACTGAACAGGTAGAACTGGAGAGCAGACAAACTGCTATAAAGTACCTCAGAATACTTATATATGCCTGTTAAAACGCAGCCTTACCTACAATTGGTGGTCCAAGACTGTTTCCAAGTCCAGCAAAGAACATCAGTATGCCATATGCATGTGTTAATTTTTCGATTCCTACAGTCTTTGTTGTAACATATGGAAAAATGGACCAGTTGCCTGTCAGAAAACCCAAAACCCCTGAAAGTATTGCCAGTGTGATGTAATTTTGGGCAAACGGAATCAATACTAGTGCCACCGAAGTCAATATCAAAGTCAGGACATATAGATATAGGGTATTAATCCATTCAAAATCTGCCAGTATTCCTAGAACAAGTTTCCCAATGGCAGTCATGATGCCTATGACAGAAATGAGAGGAATGACAGTGTCATCTTCACCAATATTGGAACTTCTTGCAATGTCTTCCATGAGCAATGAAGGAGGAAAGCCGCCAATGTCAAAGAAGAAGATGGCAATAAAAAGTGATGAAAATACTTTGTTTTTAAAAAGTCCCAGCGTTTCCCCCCAGTAGTCTAAATATAACTGCCATTTTTTCTTGGCAAGCTGTTTACAGAAATAGGTCCGTTCTACAACTTTCCGTCTGTAAGTCTCTCTCTCGTGTGGTGTTATCATTAATAGATTGTTCTTAGTTATTGCTGACTCCTGCTTGCAGTCACCACAGGATGTTTGGTTCACACCTTTTTCTTCACTGCTGGCTTTTTCAAGTACATTTTCTTCATAAGTGTTCTTTTCTCTTTCATTATAAATGAGGTATTGATCTGGAACCTTCTCGAGGATTGGCTTCTCTGGTAAGGCAGAGCCACACGACTGCAAAGGTCTCATCAGACTCCCACACGCTAATATATTTAGAGACAATGCACCAACAATAAGCAGACACCCATCTAATCCATACAGTTCAATTAGCTCCCTCTGTAATGCTGCATATATAAAAACCCCAACGCTTGATCCTGAAAGGAGAGAATAGAAACATATAAATGAGTTCATAAAATATCCTACAACATCAATGCTCCACACAATCCACTGACTGAACGTGTGATTTATGCTGTTCAGGCCTCTTCATCAAGCTGAACAAAGAACTCCAGCGCATACTGTGGCCTGGCAGGAACTTGAGAACTCCCAGGCAGGCAAGCAAAAACAGGAAATTTATCAAGCTTCTCTGTGGGCTGTCATGCCATGGCTGAAGGGCTGCAATTACCAGGGTGAGTGTGCTTGGCAAAGTTAAATAGTTAAAATAAAAGATGAACTATTGATAATTGTATTGGACATTTGTAAAGGCAACAGATATGTTTAAATAAATAAACAACCATGTTAGGGTGGCTATATGTCTACAAGTACCAGTTCTCTATTTTGCAGATTGTCTGACTCAAAATTTTGTTTACAGGTAAAAGACTTGTAAGAGAATATGGGTCTTGGAAGTAGCCCATCAACTGTTAACATCCAAACCAGGCATCCCCAACCTGCGGCCCTCCAGATGTTTTGGCCTACAACTCCCATGATCCCCAGCTAACAGGACCAGTGGTTAGGGATGATGGGAATTGTAGTCCAAAACATCTGGAGGGCCAAAGGTTGGGGATGCCTGATCTAGACAGCAGACTAAGAAATCACACAGGTCCCCTGGGCACAGTCTCCCTCGCTATGATGAGATGCATTTTATTTCTATTTAAATTATAGTCAGCATTTCTAATTTTCAATCTCTACATATAAATCAGCATGTGCATTTTTAAAAAATGCAAATCTGTGTTCCCTTTTTGGAGTGGTATGTTTCCTCTTTCTCTGAGAATGCAGGCATGGCTACCATATATCATGCACTACCTGCTTTAAAATTAAATGTTTCTGTTAAGAACATTTTTGTTTGATGTATAAGACCTGACCTGACTCTGACTGATAATAAACATGAATTAACTGAAGACAAATTAGGTATGTGAAAAAATTGCCAGAAGTATATTAATAAAATCTGGTACAGTTTTGCATTCTTTTTGTTTTTATTTGTCAGGCATGGTACAAAGGGATTAGGTGTGTCTAAGATAATGCCGATTTTCTGACCAGTTAATGCTGAAAAGTTACAATTACACATCTGTAAGGGACACTGCTTTCTAGAGAATAATCTCTGGAGCAAAAAGTAACAAATAAAGCTTCATAAAGAGAGATCAGAATGTGTCTATATGGAATCAAAACACATAAAAGTCTGAATTTTAAAACAGGCATTTCCTAAAGGAAATGAGGTTGAAATGTATGGACTACAGTCTGAAGCAGATTCATGATCTAATCCTTTGCACTTCTTCACTACTGTTGTCTTGGGCCTAATGCACATATACTGCTTAACCATGGTTTACTGCCAGGGTTAAGAGCACAAATATTAAGACTTCATTTGGATATAAGCCATAACCATGGTATGGCACTAAGGACATATGCCCTGTTCTGATGTGCACTGTCACCGCTTTCCATCTCACATTTTGCTTCAGTTACTTGCTTACTTCTTTACCATAAACCATTATAGTACATCCAAATCAGCAAAATTATTGCTCGTCATTGGCTTACAAACCAGGAGAGCAAATGAAGATATGAAGATGGTTTGAAGGGCAAGCACAAACCCAGAGTTTGCACTAAAAGAAAGTAGCTGAAGTGAAGAACATGAAGACAGAAAGGAAGGGGAGAAGTGAGTGCCTATGCAAAGATATCATTCTCATGGCACCAAATGATCTATGTATGAACCAATGGTTTAGCTTGCTTAGACAAGCCCTTCTCCTGGAAGGCAGAGGCACCAGCAGGACCTGCTTGTGACTTAGGAAGCTGAGATGCTGGAGAGATGGGAAAGCACATTAATCACAGTTTGCTCAGAACAAATACAGTGCTTACCAACTATAGATGCAAACCATGGTTTGCAAACCAAATTCAAAACAGTTCACTTTTCTATGAGACTTAAGATGCAATAATCACAGCTAATGAAACCATAACTAAGTCATAAACCAGTATAAGGTAATTCAAAATAGAGATAAAAACCATACCTGTTGAAATTAGACCAAGTGCAAGGCCTCTGCGTTTTTCAAAATACTGACATGTGATGGTTACTGTTGCTGTGTACAATAAGCCACACCCGAGTCCTAAAAAGGCAAAGCATTAATCACAAAGAATCGGGCACTCTTGTTATTAACATTACTAATGGTTCAGTTTTGATTCATTAAATTAAAACAGCACAGAAAGAGCCATTTTGGAAGTGAAACTCACAAAGCGCCCCCAATGCTACACAACCTTCATTCACCTGAAGGTGGCTCGTGAGGCAGCTGCCTATAAGCCTTTTTTGAATTCATCAAAACTGCACAAGAATTAAGTTGTCTGCTGTTGCTTCAGTTTTTTGTATGCCGCTTAGTGATTTTTTTATATATTAAGTGGTATAGAAATATAATAATAATAATTATTTGCTGCTACTAATAAAAGGGAGATTTGACATTTTAATTTTGAAATTGAAACACACAACCCCTTCCAACCCCCTTTTTAGTTTAGGGGTTTTTCAAAAATAATCTCTTGTGATTCTTACCAACAACAATTCCATAGGAAAAAAACAGGAAGTAGATATTGGGTGCGACGCTGCTCATCATCAAACCCCCAGCAACCATAAAGCCACTGAAGATTGTTACAGGTCTTGCTCCAAAAGCAGATACACATGAACTGCAAATAGGACCTATTTAAGAACAAGAGGAGTGGATTGTGAAAAGGAAAGAACAGAAAAGAAAAGAAAATAATGTTCCATAAGCAAGCACTAAAGAGATTTCTCCCCTTAGCAGAATTGCTCTCAATATGAAAGAAGGCATGTATTTTTAAAAGATCCATGACGCATGGGGAACTGAGATCACCTCTCTGTTTCCAATCAGTTGTTTATGTCTTGGCTGAACCAGGAAATGGTGGTCCAGTTATGGCTCCAAGAGTCAATGAGGCTACCTACTCTTTCACCAACATCTGCTCCCCCACATGATCTCTGCCCAACTAGAGTTTGAAATAATTCTGTAGTCCTTGTCCCTCCCGTCCATCTACAGTGTGCCACGGTTAGCACTTCCACCTAGTATACCCGTTGTTGGATTTCCTCAAGCTGGGTGACAAATTAAGCAATTTTATAACAAAGAGTATTGTACAGCTACACTTGAAAAAGCACAAATTTATTCTTTAAGAATATATTTTATCTATATCCTTTGGACTTCAATTTCCTCTGTATGGATCATGAGGGCTTACACATATATTTACACACTTAACATGTTAAACTTATAAAACAGGCAGAAATGGATTACTGTCCTCAAAGCATTCACAGTGCAAATTATGCAAGGCGATTTCTGAAAAACCAAACCTTTTTCCCCTGGCCTTGTGACCATAGCTGTCAACTTTTCCCTTTTCTTGCGAGGAATCTTATTCGGAATAAGGGAATTTCCCTTAAAAAAGGGAAAACGTTGACAGTTATGGTTGTGACCTTGTGCAGGATAAGAGGTTGCTACCCAAGTCCTGCCTGAATTCCTGCGGTTTCACTAGGTAGCCCCCTCTCTCCAGTCAGGACACCCACCCTGAAAATATGTTTGATCAAGAACTGTTAACTTTGTATGCAACTAGTTTTACAGGGGAGCAGCTTTCTGTGAGACAAGCTCCCACTGTGCCACTCTCTAAGGTGTGTTGCTGACAAATCCGTTTTATCTAGCAACAACGTCCTTTATTACTTCTCCTGCTTCTGGGTTGGCTACTAAAAGAGCCCTCAAAGCTCACATTTCAGATGAATAAAATAGTTGTTTAACCCCAAAAGAACATACTCAAAATATAGAATATACAACAGCACTAACTGGTGCAGACACATAAATACATATTGCCTGCAAGCTTCCTAAAGTATTTTTTCCTACAAATCTTTCCAGATGTTTGCCAGATATTGTAGAACACATATTTTACATGCAAAAGGTCCCAAGATCTTTTAATCCCTAGCACCTTAAGTTAGGGCTAGGAAAGCCACCTGCCTAGAGCCATGCACAGCTGCTGTCAGTCAGTGTAGACACTAGATGAACCAATTGTCCTGACTTATAAGGCAACTTCCTACATTCCTAGACTCAAAGTAGGGACTTGGAAGCAGACATGCTATTTGATCAGTGGCATACATAACTGATGAGACAAAACGCTGTAATCTTAAAAAGGGGGCCAGAAACATAAGCATAAATATTTCCATCAAACTGCTTCTAAGCAAGCATGGCTAGGATTTCAACTGGAGAGAAAGTTGTTCTTAATGATTTCGCTTGACCGAGTAAGCAAAATAGATGCTCAGTTCTATGCTGGCAGTGCTTACCCCAGTGGATGTTTGATCTAATGGCAAAGGTAAAATGGCGTATCACAAGAAATCCAGAAACTAAACCTCTCTATCATTACAACATTCTTCTGCTATTTCAGTAAACCTTGAGCATCACTCAAGAACCTAAGAAGAGCTCTGCTGAATCAGGCCTAAAACCCAACTAGTCCAGAACTCTATTCTCACAATAGCCAGGCAGATAGATACCTTCCCCCCAAAATCTTCAACTTTTTTGGAAATTCTTTTTAGAAATTCTTTTAAATAGAAGATAATATTAACAGAGTATTAACAGAAGAGCTGTACTGATGCAGCAAGGAACTGTACAAGACAACAGGTCCCTGCTTCCAAGTCAGGATTCTGTAGTCTTCCACGACTCTTCATTCAACTGGAGCTGACAGGGACCCTTAAAGAAACTAAATGTGGAAACTCTTAGTGGAAACTACCAGTGTGCCAGACAATGTGCAGGAAAACAGTTATTTCTTGCTAAGAGGTTGGCATAATGTATTAAGTTTTTTCGCTGAGCTGGTTTAAAAAAGGCTTAACTCTAAAGTGGTCTACTTACACAGCAAATTTTATAGCATGTCACAAAAATGGGAGTACTATGAAAGACTTCAGAATAGACTGATTTGCCACTATATCTTAACGAGCTGTCATGAATTAAGTGATGTGCTACATTGTTACAACAATGAGTGAGTTAGTTGCAAACTGCAACCACATACCAGCAGTGGGATTGTATTAGTGCAAGTTATTTAGTAAGAAATAGACAAGGTATCAAAGAGCATTGTTAGCATGGTAAGCATGTCTGACCTGGCAGTGCATGCAGTCATAGGCAAGAGACCTAAGCCTGGACCTACAGTAGTGCGTGCAGAAGACAAAATGTACAAGTCCTTTACCGTCCTGCACTCAAGCTCTGGTCAGAGGGGGGATGAGCTTGATGAATCTGGGGCTGCTCTAACACTAGACCAGGGTTCACAGGCAGAGCCTGAGCCTGGTGGTCAGGAGGCTGCAGAACCTGAACCAGGATGCTTGTAGACACCTTCCCCATAAGCCCACTTTACCTGGGGAGTCAATGCAGAAGGAAGCACTCCTTCTGGCCAGGGAATTGGCCCTTTAAAAACATGCATTCTTCCAGCAGGAGAGCAGAACCATGGGCTGGATGAATGGGACAGATGGACTCAAAAGACCCCACTCCACCTTCAGTTTTTGCCAGAGCACAGCTGCTCACTTGGAGCTTTCCATAGTGCTGCAACCACTAGAATGCTAGCAGCTGTTGACTCTGCCATAGCATCTTCAATATTCTGGCAAAGGGAGGGGAAGTATAAGCCATCTCTAGCTATATGCTCTTCTGGTTTTCTTGGGGAAATGGGGCATAGTAACCAAGATAATATGCACTTTTAAGGACCGAAGTAGAAGTTATGCTAAACTAGAAGCTGCTGCCAATGATGGAAGCTCTGTGGTTTAGCAGCAGCTGTCCTTTGAGGACATAGGTATAAATTTTATTTAGTTTTATGAAATGAGAGCCCAACACGGGGCTCCATTTTTGGCAGCAGACACACAGTTAAAGTGTTGAATTTCCAGATATTTAGGGAGGCATTAAAGCCATGGTTAATGGTAAAAACTTTTTTCTTGGTATTTCTTCCGGTAATACTCTGTAAAACTGTTTGCCACCAAGCCCTAAAGGTACAGGAGAAATCGATGGTAGATTTAGATCTCACCAATGTAGATGTCAGAATTCAAAGGCAAAAGCTTCATGCTTTCATTTGAATGTTCATGAGCATTACATCTAAAATATAGATAATAATTATAGGTATATAGACAGTGATAACACAGCACATAGGCCAAGGAAGCAAGAAAATCTGCATTTGCTTTTAAAAAATAAACACAATGGCCTGGATCCAAACTAATTTAGGCACACTTTGGTACCATTTAAATCAATGGGGGGAAATAATCATGAGAGGACTTGCAAAAATATGAAGGTTTTCACCCCATAATATTAAAAATAATAAATGTTCATTTACACAAAACCAGTAGATTTATTGTATGCAGCTATAAATAATGACAGAAAAAGAAGAAATCTCAGTAACCAGGTCTTGGTTATCCAAATTAGTTATCCCTTGCACATCTAACATTTAGAAGAGCACAGGGAGCATTCAATAAATGAGCCTCTATTTCACTAAGAATTACCTAAAATCAGGCATAGGCAACCTAAGGCCCAGGGGCCAGATGCAGCTCAATAGCCTTCTAAATCCGGCCCACGGACAGTCCAGGAATCAGCATGTTTTACATGAGTAGAATGCGTGCTTTTATTTAAAATGCATCTCTGGGTTATTTGTGGGGCATAGGAATTCTTTCATTATTATTTTTTTCAAAATATAGTCTGGCCTACCACATGGTCTGAGAGACAGTGGACTGGCCCACGGCTGAAAAAGGTTGCTGACCCCTGCCTAAAACTCACTGTACTGTAAGAAAAGAAATCAAGTGGGTTGTTTTTTTTCCACTAGCAGGGGTGTTACGAGAGTTTACGACTTGGGAAATTAGGCTGGATGTTTTGCTATACATCTTCCTTGCTTTGGTTGATGAAGCACCTCCAAAGAGCCTTGGTTGCCATGGAGAGGGAAACAGGATAGCCTTCCCTCCTGCAGCTGGCAATGCCATTTCTAAAGCTTAAATATGATGTCCTTATGACCCACTCCTTCAAATCCAGCAAATCATTTTTCAAGGGCAATGCGTTTTTCTTCATAAGCACTGGTGATAAATATTTTGATCCAAACTTCACCACCACATAAAAAATAATCTTTAAAATCTTATTTTATGGGCAAAATCCTGTCTTAGATTGAATCCCTGAGAGGCAGAGTGATGTGGTGCTGGTGATACAGAGTACCAAGCTAGGACTGGGGAGACCCAGTTTCAAAGCCTCATTTAGTCATGGAGTCCTTAGGCAAGTTACTCTTTCTCATCTACCTCGCAGAACGGTAGTGAGGATGAAAGAGGACAGGACAGAACTCCATGTACCACCTTGAGCTCTTTAGAGGAAAGGCGGGATGTAAAGGCAAACACTAAATCCTAGTATTAAACTGGAGATCGTACTGGAGAAGAGAGGGATACGGTTGTGTGGGACTGTCTGCAACAAATCTGGTCCCTGCCAGCCATGCTGCCCCAGTCTACTATAAGGACCAAGAACAGTTTTTAAAGCCTGTGTGGTTTGCAGAAGGTACATATTTTATTCACCTTGCCACGACATCCAAATCAACGCTTTACACCAGAGTTTTCCAAACTTTCATGTTGGTGACACACTTTTTAGACATGCATCATTTTGTAATTCAGTTTTACTAGGAAACTGGAGGTTAAACTAACCCCCTTCCAGACCTGGGAGGAACATGGGGAGATTTGCACGACACACCTACACACTGCAGCCAACACACTAACGTGTCACAACACACAATTTGGAAAGCTCTGTCTGTGTAAGGCAAGCAGCTTGCCTCAAAACTACAACTGGAAACCACAGTTTAAATTGAGATGCCCAATAAATTGTGGGTCTTTCTAAGTTACAACACTCACTGTTATGTGCAAAGATATCATGTGGAATTGTATAAAAGCTGGTTCATCAACTTCTTACATTTAAGAAAATTAGTTTCACAGCATGACTTTGAGAGCTCAAAGGATTAGAGTCCAGCTTACAGCTCACAATTATCATATTACAAATTCAAGTTTTTTGCTCAAAAAAAAAAAAAAAATTCAAGAGAAAGCTCTGCAGGTTGAAAACAGTGTCTGCTTCCTTACTGAACTTTTCAGTGACCAGGGTAATAAATTTTCACTTTTCACAGAACCTTGTCCCTCCACTGAATTGTGCAGTATTTAAAAATACCACAAACACTGAAAAATCATTTCAGAAGATCAGACATATGCCCAACATTCTCTGGATGGCACCCACCATTTGAACTATTTCCAAAATAAACATAGCTCCCTCGGGTTGTGGTGAACTTACAAAACTGGACTTTCTATTTGCCTTAAATGCTGGTGCAGATGTTTCACTTCTGAAGGTTTTCTATTTCTTGTTTCATGTTTCAACTAACACCTGAAGCAGATAATTGTATAAGACTGAAGTAGCGCTTTCTATTATTTGAAAAATTGCATATTTCAGGTTTTCTAGCCCTGAAAATAGCTGCTGCAATCTTCCATCTTCCTACGTCAAATATTATTACACTGCTCACACAAGCTGGCTTCAGCAACATCTACATTGGCTTTCCTACTGTCTGCTAAGCTTGTAGTCTTAAGAACAATTACTATGAATAAATTCAATTGAATTCAGTGCTGGAGACTAAAAAACCACACAATCCAGAGCATGTTATCAAGAAAGAGAATATGTTTACCTAATTTTCATTAGAGGTCAATCCTTTCTCCAAGCCATCATGCCAATTTACTTTAGTTATTTGCAATTTCTCAAAAGTTGCATGTTTTCAACTTGACGACAGTCAAATGACATTTTCTTTCTTTATATTCTTATTCTAATATATGCAAGGAACTATTCTTAAAAGAATTCATTTCTTTCAGGCCAGAAATTTAAAGATCACATATATGCATTTTAAAAGCATTTAATAAGTAAACGCTTCATTTTAAATCATATGCTTTATCTAAAAGACTTACTTGCAAGTAGTCCAACTCCACTTGCAAGGGAGCCAACCCATGCAGTCTTTCCTTTTCCTTCTCCAAATAGATCCAGCCATTCTAGATAGAGAACTCCAACAGCTAATGGAGATCCATAGCACAAGAACTGGGTAAAGAAGGACACCAGTACAATCATCCAGCCCCATCCACCATCTGGTGACTTCTGGAACACCATTTTCCAGGATAAATTCAAGGGTCAGAAGCAGCTCTATATAAAAGAATACAAAGAAATAGAAAACAGAGTTGATAAGAAGGAACACAGAGCACCAAGGGAACTGGAGACAGATTCTTCCTCTGGGAAATACATACTGCGTGAACTGGCTCTTAGTTGACCCAGTTGCCTAAACTCCACGAAGAGCTCATTGTAAATATACAAAGATCTGAAAGTTTGTAACATATCCCAAGTGTCTTAAAAAACCTGTAAGTCTCATCCTGCTAACAGGTAGTGTTCAGATTGCCTAGGACTGGGTACCATGGTCTTAGAATTGATATAACAATGACCTGGGAGCTAGTTCAGCTTTATTGAATGAAATATTTGTCAACGGTGTTTTAACAACTGACCTCAACATCATGACTTGGTCAGAAGCTCTCATTAAGAGCACTTGCAACTTGCTGCTGGCCTCACATTGTGGAACCAAAGTTTGGAGAAATGTTTGTTTTCCAAGGAGGCAGAAAGGAACACGCTTGCTTGCTTTGAAGGCACAAGGATGCCACAATAGCTGGATAGGGTTGACTATTCTGAGATTATGTACCATGTATAGGACGACACGGGAGCCTCATGTGAACACAATCTGAACTCCCAAAGATAGTTGAAGTCATGTTGTGTAATATAAAGTAATTAACAAGAAAACAATCAGAGGTTTTGGTTCCCAAGGCAGAGGATTTAGCATAATCTTCGTTTCTACAGAAACTGAATACAGTATATCCAAATGTCAAAAAGCATGAGGATGCAAAATAAGTATTACAAATAATGATTAATTTTTGTAAAAGAAAGGATAGTCAGAATTACAATGGGAAGGACATAAAAATATCAATTGCATCACGAATTTCAAGTTAAAAGAAAATCCAGGAAGGAAGGAAGGAAGGAAGGAAGGAAGGAAGGAAGGAAGGAAGGAAGGAGGGAGGGAAGGCCTTCCGTATAAATATTACAAAGTTGCAAAGTACTTATTAAAAGGGGAAAGTATATTACTTACAGAATAGAATCTTGTCATTCAGTCTTCTAGAACATGTTGTTTTTGGTGTATTTGGCAATTCAACCTGCAGAGAAATACCAGGTACATGAAACCGAAGCAACTCTTACTGTACCAAGTAGCGGAAATGAACATGGAAATAGGAAATTCTGGTATGAGGTTGATTTTTATACACTTTCATACCAACTTCAAAAGATCATACTCTCTGGAACAAGCAGACAGAAAGAAAAATCATGACCCAACTCCTACCATCACTCAAGCTCTTGACAGCAGCCTTGGACCGAAGGAAAGTAAAAAGGAGGTCAATGCAAGTAAGCTTTGAAACTTGCAATATTTTATAATGATTTACAGAACTCTAAGGTGACGGTTGATTTTATTTATTGCCTGGCAATGACTTGTCCTTAATGTATAATCAATCCCCCCCCTATAGATAAGATAGATATTGGCCTTTAAACCCAATGTTTGGAACTGAATATTACATAATTATGACCAACAAACAACATTTATGTAATGGATCCCACATGTTCACTTCATGTACACTTATCTCAGGAACCCTTCCAATTGTAAAATAGGCCAGTATAACCCCATATTGCAGTCTGGGTTGCTGAGACTGAGGAAACAGTGAGTTGCCTGAAGCCTTTCAAGTTAAGTCTATAGCTATAAGAGGAAAGACTGGATCTTCCCAGATCACACTTTTAGCCACCATACTATCTTAGCTATTTTATGAGAAGTAGGGGTTGTTTTTATACACTTCTCTTTGCAAACAAAGTAAACAAGCAAATATAGCAGCTCCCAAAAAAAACAAATATCCCATTCAAAAACAGCTTGATGCATGGGGTTGGGGACAAGAAGCATCCCCACAAAAAGTTGCTAGAGGTCTGCCAACCTACATAATAAATAATAATAATAATAATAATAATAATAATAATTTAATATTTATACCCTGCCCATCCGGCTGGGTTTCCCCATCCACTCTGGGTGGCTTCCAACAAATTATTAAAATACAGTAGTCCAAACAAAAAAAGCTTCCCTAAACAGGGCTGTCTTCAGATGTCTTCTAAAAGTCTGGTAGTTATTGTTCTCTTTGACATCTGGTGGGAGTGTTGGAAAAACGTCCCCGGGAAGGGTGCCAACTTCCCGAGACACGACACCGAGGCTTCTCTCCGGTGGTCACTCTCTGGCTGGAATTGCCCTCAGTCCAGAGAGACCGGCAATAAGCGACCCCTCCATCCTGAGAGGAGCACACTCATCTTCTGGTATCCCATCACAGAAGAAAGAGACAGTCAGTAGTCTACTCACTACTTTATTTACAGACTGTACATGCAGCTCTTACAGGCATGTCTGCTCTCCTGAGCAGCTAGCACAGAAGTCCACGACTCAACACACACTTCAACTCAGAAGCGAAAGTAACTCTCTGGTTACATGAGAACAAGCAGAGACTTCCTGTCTCACGCTTAGAGACATCACATGATGTCAACAATGTGCTGCTTCTCCGCAGCTGGTGAGATATAAAAATCCCAACAGGGAGGGCGTTCCACAGGGCGGGTGCCACTACCGAGAAGGCCCTCCGCCTGCTTCCCTGTAACTTGGCTTCTCGCAGTGAGGGAACCGCCAGAAGGCCCTCGGCGCTGGATCTCAGTATCTGGGCTGAACGATGGGGGTGGAGATGATCTTTCAGGTATACTGGACAGAGGCCGTTTAGGGCTTTAAAGGTCAGCACCAACACTTTGAATTGTGCTCGGAAACGTACTGGGAGCCAATGTAGGTCTTTCAAGACCGATGTTATGTGGTCTCGGCGGCCGCTCCCAGCCACCAGTCTAGCTGCCGCATTCTGGATTAGTTGTAGATCACCTTCAAAGGTAGCCCCACATAGAGCACATTGCAGTAGTCCAAGAGACCACAGGTGTGAGGTGCCATGATCTGCACCAATGTTTACATTTGTACTGGTATGCAGTGGGGCTAAGAGGGTAGAAGGCTAAGGATCAAAAGAACCTCATACCAGACTTGAGAAGAGTACAAGAGTTCATGGTTACTAAAATACAAATGACCAAAAGTTAATATTATAACATTTGAAAATCTTATGTTAGTCATTGGTGGTGTTTTACTCAAAGCATTATTGCCTTCGCAATTGCTGACCATTTGATATTTCTAACCATTGCTACTGAAAAAATAGGGTTGCATCCAGTTAATTTCTAGTCACAGTAGGCACACTGAAATTAATGGACTCACATTAGTCATATCCATCAATTTCCATGGATTTCTCTGTTCTCTTTTAAAGCTTTCATTCAGTTGTCATATTTCTTTGGTAATCAGAAAGATGTAAACAAAATATTTAACTCCTCTACACTTGGCCCTGTTTCTACTAAAGTTAAGTTTTGGCATGCAACTTGATTCTACCTATCCCCTCAGGAAGTAAGTCCTAATGATTAAAGGAAGTTACTCAGGTAAGTCCCAGTGAAAGTGTTGGATACCAGATAGCTGTGACTAACTTGTGCCATTAGTTTCAGTGCAACTTAAAACATTCACACTCACTGGATTAGGGCCCTTGTCTACCTACCAAAGGCTAGAGTTCATAAAATAAAAATGTATTCCCAATTCACATTTCATGGCTTCTGAACTGTCAGAGAAGAAAAATATAACCAGGAGGAGGAAATGAGCTTACTGTTTAAATAAATAAAAAGCACATCACTGGATTGCTAAATAGCAAGAAGCATTTCCAATGGCTTCTTGAATCAAGCTGCCAGCTGACATCTTAGTTACAAAGTCTAACATCTGAAAGCTGTAATCTTACATGCCACAATCCATGTCGGCTCCTTTCAGAGTCTCGTCTCCATTTCAGTAAGTCCATGCAACTGGGTTCTTATTTTAAAGAAGGGATGCAGGGTTTTATAGGGTTGTTCTCCTACTTATCCATACGGCAAACTTCCTCTTAAATGATACACAGATCTAAACTATTTATTACCTCACAGTATCCCCAAACCACTTTAGAGCTGCTTATGACAAACAATACACATTCTCAGAGATCACTAATAAGTGAACTTCCTTTACGTTACCTGGTTTCCAGATAAAATCTGTTTTCCGTTTGTGGTTAACAAATTTAACATCTCTTGCCCAACACTCTAGAAAGCACTGTTCTCAATAGCCTACAATCCTATCACGCTCTTGGTTAAACAGAAACTAATTATTTCCACTTCAACACTTTTTGCAGAGAAGCAGAGCACAAGAATTATTGTTCCTGTTTTCAGACATTTCTATTCACTCACAATAACTTTTTGCCAAGTGTCTTTCCCCCCCGAAACTGTCAAATTGATAAACAGTAGCATAGAAATAATGCAATGCTACACGGAATTGCACTAATAAGACTGAGGGGAGGTTGTACTGAGCTTTCATGACACCCGACATTAAACAGCTGAAAATACTTTTAGAAAATAACCACTAAATGTTTGCATTGATTTAGTTGTGTTTGTTTAGGTAACAATGGTTAACTGAGGGAAGCAGTCTTATTTTAACATGTTTCGGCACTTATCTAGAAATCAGATCAAGGCAACGCTATGCAGCTCACCATGCACACAGACTGAAAAAAGACAATGACAACCAATATAATATTGTGCAGGAGTTACCAACTATAGTGTTGCTTGGTCTACTGTTTGGTTTTTAAAGTAGATTCCCCATGGCCCACTAAAGTGCTTTCAATTTGCACAGCAGAACTGAATAATCAAGACCTCTGAACAGTTAAAGCACAACTAATCTGCACTAAGTGATCCTGAGTATGCATTCTTGCTTAACGTAAGAAGTGTTTTGTTGGAGGAGACCCAAGGTTCACATAGTCCAACATTCCTTGTAGGAATTCTGTGAACCACTAGTTGGTTGTAGCTGAATTTCTGCCTACAACTTGTTATAGGATAGAGTTTTAGTCAAGTACACATGAGAACTGGGTTCAAAGATCCACTTAGCCATGAAACTCACTGGATATCCACTGATCCATCTTTCTTTCTCTCTCTCTCTCTCTCTCTCTCTCTCTCTCACACACACACACACACACACACACACAGAGAGAGAGAGAGAGAGAGAGAGAGTTGTTGGGAGGATAAAATTAGATAATCCTGCATATCCTACCCAGATAATCTTGGAGAAAGGGTGGCACACAAGCAGAGGAAAATGCGGAAAATGCAAGGATAATTAAAGAAAAGGCTTTAACTTACCAGAAGCGGTCACAGCAAGTCAGCTAACTTTAGCAATGCAACCTTAAGTGTCTGGCATATCTGCTTCCTGATGTTTCCAATCCTTCCTTCTTACTTAATCCACAACTGACAACAAAAAAACAACAAAAACAGGAAGACTGTCTCCTTACTTAGTCCACAGCTGAAAACAACAAAAACCGATCGTCTAATAAAAGACGGCCTTGAAGAATACTGGAGTGCCATCAGGAGGCAAACCAATAAGAAACATGGGGGGGGTCTTTTTAATAACACTAAGTTGTAAAGTAGAAAAACCTCCTCAGACATACAACTGGCTTTATAAAATGAAGCTTCAAAATAATCTTAACTTCCAGAGACACACACTGAACTCCTGGCTGTCATAACACAACATGCACTTCAGCCTCAACACATTTATACCCTTTAACTCTCAGGGTATCTTGAGGCAAGCTGGGGATAGGCTTAAACACAGTGATATCCTCATGCTTGAATGTTAACAATGCACTTAATTAAGTTTCCAGAATGAAATTTTAAAAAGAGGAGACACGATAAACCTATGTGGAAATTAAAGTACCTTTAAATAAAGGAACACCTTGTTGTCCTTAAGGCACTGTGACGTTCTCGTTTAAGGGATGAGCTTGCAGCTTATCTTGGAACTATGACCAAAGAAAAGGAATTTATTGGAAAGAAATTTGGACTCTGCACTCTGGATTCAAATCCTGGCACTCAGCAGATGACTGAAGGGGAACTACCTCTTAGGTCTTCAATCAGTAAAAAGAGCAAGAGTCTTGCAAGGGCAAATAAGATAACATGGCAGTAATGTATTAAGTGTTCTATCAAAATTATATTTAAAGTTGGTTAAACCATCAATGGGACTCCTTAGCACCAGCCTGAGACCCAAACTCAAAAAGTAGCCTATTTAGCAGTGTTAGCATTTCCTTCTCCCAGAACATATGCAGCTTTTTCGCTTATGTGTCACTGGTGGGACACCCACCTTTGACAGTTGTAGCTCATTAACCACAGGAAACACCTTGCGTTCACATAACATAAAACAAGCATGCTTCTTCCAGATGACAACGGGCACAGTGTGCAGGGACAAAATTAACTTTGGAATAGTGCGCTAATTGTCCACAACATACAGTTCTAACTGGAACTTGAGGAATTTTAAGAGCCCTGCATCTTCTACTCCTGCTTGTTTATACAATGGCCATCAATGCACATGGGAGGTTTGCGGGATAACAAGCTGAAAGAGCCTGCATGAGTTTTTAGTATTAAGCTCCGTACAGTGGGGAGAGAGAGAGAGAAGACTAAGAAAGGACAAATATCAGCAAGTTAACCTCACGAAAGCTGGCTAGAATCCCCCGGTGCAGACAACCAGGAAATGAAGCTTTCGCTGCCCTGCCATAGCATTACTGCAAAAAAGAGAAGTAGTTAATTAACATCATAGTCCAATGCATGCTTGCTCAGCAGCAAATCCCACTACGTCCAAGGGTAGGGAGAGGGGAGAGTGCACGGGGAGAAGATCTGCAACCTGCAGAAGCAACCTGAGCAAAAGCTATGTGCTCTCTTGGCGGCGACCTGCGCTTGCTCGTTGTTTTGGGGCGGGGGGCGACTTGCTCGCTTAAGAAGCACAGCAAGCGGCTCAATCAGGGCTTGCAGAAACCTCCCCGCGTCTGCAGCCCACGACACTGCTGCAGTCTCCGGGCTGGCTCCCCTTTGCACCACATCCCTAGTCCAGGCAGTCTTTTTTAAATATTTTAATTCCCCCACCTCCCTGCTGCTGCTAAAGTTGCTGCCCCTCCCGCCCCAGCCCCCAGTGTGACACAGCAACCCCCCACCCACCCCCAGCCCCCCAAATATTCCCACGGGGCTCTCCCTCTGTCGCCCCACCCACCCCTCTATTTACCTGCCGCCGTCCCGGGGGGGGGGGTGGCAAGCAAGGAAGGCTCGCTCTGCGGCGACAGGGATCCCACCCACCCCCAGGGCGGGGGGCGGCCCTCTATTTATTTGCGCCCTCAGGCCGAGGGCAGTGCGAGGCTGCTGGAGGGAGAGAGGGAGGCAGCTAGCCGGCCGGCCGGTGGGCGCGCGGGCCGCCTTCCAGCGCCGAGCTCTCTTTCTCCCCCGCCGCCCTCCCGGGCTCCTTTCATCCTCCGGCGGGGAGGCGCTGCCGTGTGGAGGCAGCCAGAGCCGGCGGCCGGTACAAACCGGTTGCAACTAAGCGAGCGTGTGGGGCGTGTGCGTGTTGTGTGTGTTTTCCTTTCTGCTGAGGAAAAAGGCGGCGCTGCAGAGGCTCGGGCTGCCGCCGGAGAGAGAGAGAGAGAAGGCGGCTGAGGCGCCTCCGTCTGTCCCCATAAACCTCTGGCTGGCTGGCCCTGCAGAGAAGAGAGAGGGGCGGGGATGGGCAGCAGGCGGCGCCTTTTCGAGGCAGCGAGGCGGGAAATGCCGCCGTCAAGCGGAGGCTGCTGCTGGGTGCCGAAGTCGGCGGCCTTCCTGCCCCCGGGAGGAGGTGTCGGGAAGCCCCCCTCGCCCATCTCCCTCCCTGCGTCCCCCGCGGCTTCTCCGTCGCGCGCCGCGGGGTCAGCGAGGGGTGAAACTAACACACACAGACATAGGCAGCAGCCAGTGCCTTTTCAAGCGTTCACGGGCGGAGACCCGAACTGAAAAAGTCACTTTTTAAAAACTCCCTGTTGGAAAGAAAGAAAAAAAAGGTTACGCGTTTTCTTAAGCACCTCGAACAACTTCGGCGCACGTCTCCGCCTCAAAGCCCTGCACACATCTCGGTAACGACAGGCTTGCTTTTTCAACGGTTGGCTCTCTTTTGCGCGGGTCAGGTTTGGGGTGAATCTCTTTATGCTGACGCTTCTAATGCTAGGTGAAGCAGAGTGAGTTGCCTTGGTTTAAAACACACACAAAGAGAGTTATCTGCTTTGTCCTTTAATCTGGGAGCAGCTTTCTATGACACAATGGAGGTAGTGCTGGCTTTGCAAAAACAATTGTCAAGGCAAGACATTGCAGCATTTCTATACTCTTGCTTTTATGTTCTGCATTTGGCACCGTGCACACACTTCACTCCAAGCTTCCTAAAGCAGCCTAATCTCACATCCCAGACTCAAACCTATAGCTTTCTGCCTCTCGCATGCAGTAAGAGGCCATAGAGGTGCTTCTTAAGTCTCTTGCATTCCAGCGAAATCTCCCTGTTAACTTTGTGTATCGTTAAAAGTGGGGCAATAAAAGTTCGTAGGATGAGCAACACACCCTGGATCACTCCATTGTTCGTACACCAGGAAATAAGAGGACTTGGCAAAGGATTAAAGGATCACGCATGGTATATAAGAACCTCTAAAATAGATAAAAGCAAGATAACTATTTCCTTCCTCCATATTTAACCAAAGCAGGGCTAGGTCCTTTCCCTCTTACCATTCCTTCTAATACCAGGAACATACAAAAGCCTGGATATGAGGGAATTTCCCAGACACTTTTCTGTTCACATCATTTTCTAAGATAGAGCGTTACGGAAGTGGGTGATTAGGGCAGTAAATACCAGGTTTCCTAACATTTAAGCTTGCATTTATTGCTATGTACACATTAGCTTAAAGTGCTGCTAGGTCATTCTGTTTCTCAATTTGGATCAAAGTTGTTTTGGGGGACACAGTATTTCATAAGGAACAAAAGAGTAGATACGGGGTAGACATGGATTGTGGCTAATGTTGTGCACGCACCACTTCTCAAGGCAGCGATGGGAGTGCACCACATTTCATTAGGGTGTGCGCCCCAGGGAATTTTGCCTTTGTGGACAAGAGGAAGGAGTGCTCTTGGGGAAGGGCCCTTAAGCACAAAACACAACCTTAACTTTGGAGGGGCCCCTGCTGCCGCTTGAGGTGATATAACAATGCAGGGCCCCCACGTGTTCATACCACAAAAGCAGCCCTTCACCTCCACATGTCTCTCTGCAAAAGGTGGCGAGCTGAAGGCTCCTTGCAAGCCAACTAAAACACGTCCCCACATCAACCAATTTCATTACAGTGCAACATAATAGCAACTATACACAAAGACAGCATTTCAGTACTATAAATATAACATGATTGCATCAACCAGATTATACCTCCTGGCAATAGTAACAATAGCAAGGGAACTTTGTCAGTTTTACCTTGGTCCTGGAAAACTCTCTGCCTCGTGATGTTGCTTAGAGTCCCTCTCCTGCAGCAACTTGCTAGGCTTCCAGAGGCAGCCAGGTGGAAACACTCCTCCTGTGATGTTGTTCCTCCCTTCCCACTGATAAGACTCACCTGGCACCAGGTCAGCACATCTTTATTTCATCAGGCATATTAATCATAAGGCTTTCAATTTACTGTATTAATGCTTTGCTGCAGTTGGTTTTCTCTAGTTAGATTTACACTGCGGTTGTTTTATTCTGTTTGGCTTGTTTAATCTTTATGGGTTTAAATTTTATTGTTAACTATCCTGAGAGTGTCCACTGTTTACTTGTAAAAAATAAAATAAAAGTGCGTATAGTATTGTAGCCTCAAGCACATGCTTCTTGTGACTTGAGGCTCCCTGCAGATTAAGGTACTCAACGAAGTTCCAAACTTGTGTTTGATGGAAAAAAGGGAGAGGACCTTTTCTGTTGCTCACCCAGGTGTTGAAACTTGTGAGGAAGAACATTAGTCATGGTGTTTAAACCTTATCATCCTGAGTACATCAGTGTATTGGGAGGGAGAGTTTTTAAATTAAAAACATGGGTTTTTAATTAAATGTTATTGCTGGTCTTATCTGTTATCTCTTGATCTGCTGCTCTGTTGCATTACTGCTTGATTCTGGCATACAAGTCATGTTTACCTTTTATAAGGAAAGGTGGGTATCCTTTTTTAAAAAATGTTATCACATGCTGAAATCAATTAGTCTTATAAAGGCTTGGCTTTGCCAGAATCACGCCATGTTTGTAGTTAAAGTAAGCACACTTTAGTACTCCTGGAACATGATATACTTCAGAGGTCATCGATGTGGGCACAATGGTTTCCATGAGGACCTCCCTTGGTACCCATTAAGCTTTTGCATCTCACTTCCCACTCACTGTCCCCCGAGTCATAGAGTGGCAAGGGTGATCACCTCCCCACCCCACCCCACCTCGCCCCCTGCTTGAAGAGTAAATGGAGCTGGAGTAGGAAGTGAAAGGAGCAGCAATTTCCCCCACTTCCTCTCTCAGCTCTATGTGCTTTTCAAGGCTCAGACTGGCACCTGAACAGCTGAACTGAAAGTAGAACAGGCTTGTTTTCTCCTGCTCTGGAGACTCAAACCAACGGCTTCAAGTTACAAGAAAGGAGATTCCAACTAAACATACAGGGGGGGGGGACTTCTGACGGTAAGAGCTGTTTGACAGTGGAATGGTCTCCCTCAGGAGGTTGTGGACTCTCCTTCCTTGGAGGTTTTTAAGCAGAGGCTGGATGGCCACCTGTCATGGATCCTTTAGCTGAGATTGCAGGCTGTTGGACTAGATGACCCTTGAGCTTCCATCCAACTCTACAATTGTATGATTCTATGGAACAGCCAAGACTGAGGGCAGAGAGTGAAGTGTGTGTGGGGGGGGGGACAGAGTCCAGACTGAATGATTCTCTCGAAATTGCGTACTTTATCACAGGTCTTCATTCTCCTCTTCTACCGCCACCCTTCACAGAACCACCACTTCCATTCTCAAGAAACTACAGTTTATTAGGATTCTTCTTTAGGGCAAGCTGTCATGTACTTTAAATGTGCATTGAATGTGATTTATTTATTTTTTAAAATATTAATCTTTTTAGGTTTTAAAATCAACACATACACACAAAGAACATTTAGGGGAAAAGCAAAGAAGAAAACAAAAAGAAAACAGACAAAGAAATAGCAAAATTATGCAAAAGAAAAAATATATACATCTTTTACAAACAAACAAACAAACAAAAGATATGCAACACTGCTTCACCAATAAACAGTGGTTCCATCAACCAACACATTGAATGTGCTTTAAATGTATAGTGTGGATGTGCCCTAAATTGGTGAAACATAGAAGCATAGTCATTTTTGGAAAAGCCTTGATATAGTAAATGAAATTCATGCACTGAAAATGGTTTTTTACATTTTTGTTAGGTATTCATATAAGGTTGGTGGAAGGGGGACAACAGACTGCACACACCAAGATACATACAGATACGCGTCATCCATGCTTGACATAAAGTGAATATATTTTGTACTCGGTCTTATGAGTCCGAGTACAAGAAGTCAAACGAGGAAAAAATTAAACAAAATTCATTTGTCTGAACATGTGGTCATCAGGGTAACAGAATTGTGCCAGTTTGCCTATCTCTAGCAAATGTTTGGGAGGTAGAACCTAGCCCAGGGGTCAGCAACCTTTTTCAGCTGTCCACCATCCCTCAGACCATGCGGGGGGCCGGACTATATTTTTTTTGGGGGGGGGATGAAGAAATTATTATGTCCCACAAATAACCCAGAGGTGCATTTTAAATAAAAGCACACATTCTACTCATGTAAAAACACACTGATTTCCGGACCATCCATGGGCCGGATTTAGAAGGCGATTGGGCCAGATCCAGCCCCTGGGCCTTAGGTTGCCTACCCCTGCCCTATCCCTTCTCTAGCTTTTAAGCTAATGAAATGAAAATCCCAGTAAATGGCACATCTACAAAAAACAAAATAATCACTATCGCACACAGCTGCGCACTTTAAGTCTCAAATGCAGGGTTCAAATGAAAATACATAGCATGTTTACTTCAGTGGGATTTAGAAATGGGTTAAGTAACTCAGCAGCGATAATGAAAACTGGCAGCGCAATCTCTTCCCAGAGAGAGTCAGAGACAAAGAGAAATCAGATCTAATGCCTCCTATATGCAATGCCTCATGAGAGACCACTCTTAACTAGACCATCTATTTATTCACAAGCAAATTTATCCAGCTTGGAACAAAAGCCACACTTCAGCAATTCACATGTTTGTTTCATCAGGGCTTCTTCTATGGGACTCCTGTCTACCCCAGCTCCTCCCACCCACAGCAGAATCATCAACTCTTATGAGCAGGGTCCACCTCTTTCTTGCGCTTCTGTAAGCAAGGCACATATTCTAGAAAGCAAGCTTAGAGTATAATACACATTTTCATTCATATTTATTTTATTTAAACAATCCCTTTCTCCAAAGAGCTCCCACTCCGTTTTATTCTCAGTCAGCACTATTCCTGTGAGTCAGCTCAGGCTGAAAGTGAGTGATTAGCCCAAGGTCACCAAGTAAATTTCATGTCTGGGGATTTGAACACAGGTCTTCGTTATACAACAATGCAGATACTCTGTCCACTACACAACTCTGGCCCTCTTTTAACTGGAGGTTGTT